CATCCAAATACCCCGTTTCCCCTTCCCCTGCCCTCTCCGGCAAGCCGAGCCGCAGCCGGCCTACAGTAAGAGAGGCACACGGTCCTTACTGTGCAGTGCGACCACTCCATGCGACTCTAATGACGTCGGCTCTCGTGTTTTATGGGACACCATGGGACACCCGCACTCTAAAAAAAATCAGTGCGAAATTTTGTAACATCGATGGGAAGTTTTTTCAGTAACAAGATTACAAAATTTTGTAACATACGAGGTTACAAATTTTCGTAACTACGGAGTACAAGTATTTGCTTCCTGGTTACAAAATTTTGTAACATAAGATGATACAAATTTTCGTAACGTCGCATTACAAATATTTATTTTCTGATTACAAATTTTTATAACATTTTGTGCTGTTGTGTGCAGTAGTTGCCGACACCCAAAAATTAGTAGTATTTTCTCATTGCCCTTCCGGAAGGGTCATATCAGTTTGCCACTGCCTCTTCCTCAGAAGTGCATAGTGAGTTACCCATCTGAGTTTTGCAAAAGTCGGTTTTAGCAAAATTACTTTTCTTAATCTTGCCTTTTCCTCGCAGCAATGACTGTTCCGAGGAGGACGGAACCAAGTCAAGTGCAAGTGCAAGTCACTGATACAAAAATGAAGTAGCGTGTAGAAAAAGCTACAGTCATATGAGGAAAACGTTGCCATACCCAACCGAGGAGAGTTGGCAGGTACCCTGCGCGCGTTGGTATTAAACCAATTATATCTGACGCATGGTTGACTTTTTCAACAAAAACTTTTATATTCACTGAAGGTCATTGTCTTATAGAGCATACAGCGTAAAATTAAATGTTTGTTTCGTGACGAAATTTGCGTTTTATGCAAAGAAATGGTTATTGTTAGAGACGCTCTGACCGTTACGCCATCTAGCGGCAGTTACTAGCGACACACAAAATCTTAAAATCTCTCGAGTCGAAAGGATTTGCCTATGGTAGGCAGCAAAGGCAGCCCTTCTCTGCTCTCACACTAAGTTTACATGAGAGTGTACAAGTTTTTTTTTTTTTTTTTGAAGGGTGCAACAGCACATTTCTGAACTAAATGGTACAAAATTTTGTAATTGGGACACAACAATTTGTAATGCGTGGATGCAAAAATTTGTAACATCCTATGTTACAAATTTTTATATCAAGTTAACGAAAAATAATACCAGGATTATGAAGAACTGTAACAATGTTACAAATATTTGTAACAATTACAAAAACCTGCAACAGTTACAAAAATTTGCATTCGTATTGTTAAAGTTTGCACGTCTGTTACAATTTTTTGAAACAATTACAAAATTTTGTCACAACATTACAAATATTTGAATCTGCATCCAAGGTTACAAAATTTTGTTTCAAAATTGATACTAGAACTTGTAAGATTTTTTAGAGTGCGTCCAAGAGAAACGCATATCACTTCCTTGCACCGTGTGTTTTTAAAATAAGAATGATGATGACTGATGGTGATCGATGATAATGATTGATGATGATGATTGAAATGATGATTGGAATGATGATTGGTAATGATGATCGATGATGTGATTGATGACTATGATGTGATTGATGTTGGATGAAATGATTGATGATGAATGATGATAATGATTGATGATGATGATTGAAATGATGATTGGAATGATGATTGGTAATGATGATCGATGATGTGATTGATGACTATGATGTGATTGATGTTGGATGAAATGATTGATGATGAATGATGATAATGATTGATGATGATGTGATTGATGATGGATCATGATGATACAAATAAGAGAATATTTAGGGTTCCAAAACGCGAGCGCGATCATCACGCCTGGCATAAAAATTTTGCTTGCATTTCGTGAACTCTAAATCCACACTATATAGTGTTACATTGTTACATCAAATAATTACAGTTCGCAGTGTTTTTGGCGTAGTGCTTGTGTGGAGACGTGAATTGAAATGAGAGATCATTGCGGGGCCGTCCACCGTGGCCGTGCACTGCGTGTGTGTGTGTGTGTGTATGTGTGCATTGTTGTCGGGCTGTCCACAAGCCCACAACAATGGGTTGGGCCCCGCTAAACAATTACATCATCATGATGCAAGCGCAACGCCTCTGCTGCTGGTTCTGGACGCGCGCATATGTGTGCGAGGCGAATAGAAAAAAATTACTAAGGTATAGCCCGTGGGCTTGGCCATACATTCCCGTATATTACAGTAATGTATAGTCACGCCGGCTCCGGTGTCCCCGCGGACGCGAAAGCAGTCCTGATGGGTCCTAGCAGGCAGACTGCTCGAATGACGGACTTTATCCTTCGTGCGTGTACCTGCAGTAGCCAGTGGCAATGCCCTTTCTATGCTCGTTGCTCTCTCTCTCTCTCTCTCTCTCTCTCTCTCTCTTTCTCCCTCCCTCTCTCTCTCTCTCTCAGACACACACGCCCGCCCACGCCCACGCCTTCACCCTCACTTTTTTTTCTCTAGCAGCAGACGAGTGGCAACATAACAGTCTTGCAGAGTGTGCCGCCCGAAACAATTGGCATCAACGTTATTAAAAGGCACAAGAGAAAAGAGGGGAGAGAAGAAAGGAGCGCGGGTGGGATAAAAGGAGTGAGACGAGCACAGTTAAAATAAATATAAAAAAAAGTACGAGAGCGAGAGAGATGGAAGTGGGAAGTGAGAGCGAGAGAAAACGAGAGAGGCGGGATGCGGAGGAACGAGAGGGGAGGGAAAAGGCAGAGCAAAAGGGGTCGACTGCATGTTGTTCGCCATCAGCAGTGTTTACTTCTGTCTCATTGTGCTCTGCACTCCAAATTAAAAGGGAAGAAAAATAAGCGCTGAGACGCCTCTGCTCTCTCTCTCTCTCTCTCTCTCTCTCTCTCTCTCTCTCTCTCTCTCTCTCT